GCGACGCCGACTGCCTGTCCAGAGCCCCCATCGAAACACCTTCCGGCAGTAGCAACGACGAAGACGACGAGTGCTTCCTAGGTGCAGTGAACACCGACGACATGTCACGACGTCAAAGAGTTGCGCGCACTAATCGAGCACCTCGAAGGACGAGGGGGTACTGTCCCCCGTGTCTTCTCGAGAGCCCTGCCGACTTTCGTCCTCCGACAAGGTGTACTTTACAAGGAGAACTTCGGAGACAACAGCACACCATGGCTGCTGGTAATCCCCACCGACCTTAGAGCGGAGATCTTTCAAGCCTGTCACGACGACCCGACGTCCGGACACCTTGGTTACAGCCGTACGCTGGCCCGAATTCGTGAAAGGTATTACTGGCCCAAGCTGCCGAAGACCGTTCACTTCTACACACGGTCCTGCCACGAGTGCCAGCGGCGCAAGAAACCACCGACGAAGCCGGCAGGTCTCCTGCATCCGATCGCTCCCCCGACCGTACCGTTCCAGCAGATCGGAATGGATCTACTTGGTCCTTTCCCACCATCGACGCAAGGAAACAGATGGATTATTGTCGCCACAGATTATCTCACATGGTACGCCGAAACGAAAGCCCTTCCTGTAGGGACTGCTGTGGAAGTCGCCAAGTTCTTTATCGAATCCATCGTCCTCCGGCACGGCGCTCCCGAAGTTTTGATCTCAGACCGTGGATCATCGTTCATGGCCCAGCTGACGCAAGAAATCCTTCGTCTCAGCCACACCAGCCATCGGCGCACAACGGCGTACCACCCGCAGACCAACGGGCTGACGGAGAGACTCAACAAGACCATCGCCGACATGATCTCCATGTACGCCGACGTGGAGCACAAGACCTGGGACGAGGTGTTGCCATACGTCACATTTGCCTACAACACGGCCGTGCAAGAGACCACCGGGGTGACACCCTTCCAACTGGTTCATGGTCGTAAAGTAACGACAATGCTGGACGCGATGTTACCCCACGAACCGGCTCTCGACGGAAGCGACGACGCCCAGGTGGTTGCCCAACGGGCAGAAGAAGTCCGCCAGCTCGCCAGACACCGTATTCAAGCCCAACAACGTGTCGACACTGGCCGCTACAACCTTCGTCGTCGGGACGTCCACTTCCAGCCCGGAGACAGGGTGTGGGTGTGGACACCGATCCGCCGCCGTGGCCTCAGTGAGAAACTCCTGAAGCGCTACTTCGGACCCTACAAAGTACTTCGTCGACTCGGGGATCTGAACTACGAGGTGATGCCCGACGGAACACGAACATCGTCACGCCGCCCACCACGACCTGAGGTCGTCCACGTCGTGCGCCTGAAGCCGTACTACGCTCGATAGGACTGTGGACCTTATGTGCTCCAAAAGACTCTTTAGTTTATCGTTCTTTTTTATTTTGTTTTGTTTTACACTGCATCGGGGCGATGCACTTTTAAGGGGGGGAGTAATGCCGCGCGCAGGGCTGAGAAAGCAACGCTCGGTCACGGACCTCCAGAAAGTTCCCGTTTATTCATGTAGCGCACGTAACTTCTATTATTTATATCCATGTATCTTCTGCTTTTGTTTTCTAGAAAGTGCGTGTTCATTCTCGCCCCGATCACGCGACGCTCGAGCCGCTTTCGCCGAATCTTCGAGATAGCGACGCACTCTAGATAAGAGGCCGCCCGCGACCTTGTCGAGTCAGTTTTCGCCCCAGCGCTCGACTCTGCTGTCTCGCCGACTTCGACGCCCGCGACGCTCTGTTATTATCTTTTGTACCCTTTTATTTTTGGCACAAGTTCGCCACATTAAACGTTTATTTCTTCCTTTTTATTTCCTGTTTTTTGGTCACCACCCGTGACAATATAGCATTTGGAGTATTGTCCGTCCTTTCTGTTTATGCTTTCTGTAACAAGTCATCAAAACCAACGGGTTCACGTTCAACTATAGCATTCGGAGCACCTATTTGTTTGTCAAAAAGTGATGGTCTCCGTTCTGCCCTTGCGAAAGGAGACTTGTCCGCACAACAAAGTACCACAAGAAGCCGCCGGGATACCTGCCACACCGCAACGTGCTCCCCGCAACCTTCCGCCGAGCGCGGGGCACACGGGACAAAAGGCATTTCCAGACATTCTTTTTGTTTTGTCTCAACAAATTTTGGGGGTTTTCTTTAAGTTTTCTTCTCACCCCTCCTCCTCCACCTCCTCGAGCGTAGTGCGACGCCTCATGGATCTGTACCCTAATCACTCGTACCAGCAGCTTTAATTCATCAGTCATCGATAATATCTTAATCATATTTGCCAGAGCCCAAATTAAAAAAAGCACCCCTGCAGTGATGGGTTGTTGCAATTCTTTAATTTGAGGACTGCACAAATCATCAGCGACACATGTGCGTTTCAAATCAGTGCTGCCTTCCAACCTCGCCTATTCCGAGGATTGTAAACATGGCTTAATGTAAAACTGGATTGTAACTTGCAAGTGTATTGAATTGCATTTCTTAAAATATTTATTTTGCATATCTAAATATTGTAATAAATAATTAATAATACATATATATATATATATATATATATATTGGTAGAATTTCTTTATGCCATCGACAGTGAATAATTGTGACGTCTTGACTGTCTCTATAAAATCCCCACTCCTGCCATAGTCTCACTGGGGCAGCAGTTTGTAAAATAAATAAAAAAATGAATATTCATCTTCCGAAAGTAGTTCTTTTTTTTTGTATTTGTAAAAATGATTTCTTACCACTGATTTTTTAAGGAGTACAAATATCGGCAACTCAAAAGAATGTTGACACATCATTCAGTCACTGTTTAAAAGAATCAAGCTCTGAAGGAAACTGAAGAACTTATACACATCGAAATCTCTTTTTGTACTCCTGTTCAGAAAGTCTATGTAGTGTTTGATTTTTATTCGAACAACTTTTGAAAGAGGGGTGAAAGTTAGACGAAGTCCGTCTTCAGGGTGTGTTTAATAGGCCTGGCGGACATTAGAGGAGGGAATAATTTTCAGGCTATATATGCTTTCAGGCTATATAAATTTGTTAAAGAAATCTTCTTACTATTGCTTTTAGGGGTCATATTTATATTGCAGTATAGACGTCAATTCATTTCAGCGGCCAGACCAATTTAATGAATTTAGAACTAAGTGAGTGTTTTTAGATATTAATTGAATAATTTTGTCGTTTTCCCGCCTGATCTAAAATTTCAAGCGAAAATAACGCATGAAACCCTTCCCCCAATGAGCATTGGAAGTGTGGCGTAGTTGTTTTGGTCACGTCTTCACTTGTCTCGTCGGTGCACCCAAAAAGGAAACGCTGTCAAGATGATTAAATTAATTAAAAACCTAATTGCAAACTTTTATCTACTTAGCCAACTTACCATGACAATTATACCCTAATGCCACCGCCTGATAACTACTTGATGGGCGTAGAGCACGCCTAATTCTCATACCATTTTTATAAAACAAATATTTGTTCGAATTGAAAGAAACACCCTCCATATATTCTGTCGGTCAACCAAATAATATACATAATTAATACATATCAAGGAACACGTCTCCAAGGGGAAAGGGTTCGTGCTTTCCTATATACTTGTTGCTATGCGTTCGAGGACCTTTCACGTTTGACAATGCCTTTTACATAGAGGCACTGACATACTGTCATAATCTGTTAGGTAATCCTGGAACACTTGCAATAACTGAATTACTGGTATATTTGCAGTATCTGAGAGATCACACCTGCGCACTATCTATGAAAAATGGTGACTGATAATAACTACTCTTATCTCTTTATTAAAAAACGACGCGCAGATCACAAGTGTTTCAGGGCTACACAACGGATGGTGCCATTGTGCTCTTTTCAATAGTAGTCACACGCCGATGCAGCCCACAATCAAACGAAATTGTGTGAACCAGATTTTAGAGCCATCTCAATAAGACTGGCTGCTCCAGAAGGCCAAAATAATCGAAATGAAGTTCAGTGATTTTAAGATACATTGCATAGCACTGCATTATTTTCGGAGAATTTAAAATTCTGTTTTGTGGCTTGCTTGTTAACTTATAAGCGAAATTGGGGTATATGCAGCGGCGTAGACTTTCCATTTTCCCGGGGGGGGGGGGGGGAGGGGGGCAGGCTGAGAAGATTTCCGGGTGCGGAGGGGGGGGGGGGGGTTGCGCAATCTTTTTTTTACACCGGCAATTATCAGCAGTTTACTTTAGGGGGTACATTTTACACCGTATGTATATCGCCATGTGTCGGTCGCTATGTGTCAATGTCAATCACCGTGCAAGCGTAGCCGTGTGTTCATCGCCGGTACCACGGTGCATGCGCCGGAGAGCACAAATCTGAAATCTTTAGTAGCGACTCCATGGGAGTCCCTACTAAACGGGTTTTCGGAACAGCACCCGATGGAGTAGGCGTCTCTATATAAACTTCTGGTTGTTTTGATTATCTTTTTTTTTTTTCCTTTCTGATGGGACACCTCAAAATGGCGGGCTGCTGTAAAAGCAGACCAAGCGGACGTAAAAGAGATCGATGCCGCGTTACCTTCTCGCCAGAGCTGGAGATTGAAGCTAACGAAAGCGCGCTGGGATTCCATTCCCCATGTATTTTGTCAACAAAGGCAATGTGGGCGTTATTTTGTTTATATGCCACTACTAGAAGCTCGTTACATGGCATGTAAGCAGCGTCTCGGTAAAAATCATCGCGGAGGAAAGGGGGGAGCTGTGCCCCCCCGCCTCCCCGGATCTTACCAGGGAGAGCACGAGCCTGGATGCCCCCCCCCCCCCCCCCCCCCCCCCGAAGTCTACGCCTATGGGTATATGAATAATTTTACTGACTGGGGAGCAGCGTTCTTTAAGATTTAATAATAGGAGATTTTTGTGAAATAGATAAATCTGGTACTGCAGAGAAACAGAAACAGCAGTAACAGCACTACAACAGTCCGTATTTAAAAGTTTGTGTCCCAAAAGGCTTAAACCGGAGAACAAAATTTATGAGATGGTACTTTTTCAATGCAATACTTTATTCAAAAAAATTTAGGCGCCTTGCAATTCTTTATGAAGGGGCAACAGCAGGGCTTGTTTCCGGAGCCGGTACACTGTCGGTTACAGTTTTCTTCCTGAAAGTTAAGTATTTATTGAAAATCTTAAAAGGTTGAAGCCTTAAGCTCGTTCACTTTACTCGAATCTGTGTGTACTGGTTCATGATATGTATCTCTACTGGGTTCCTGCACCCGTCCCGAACGTGTTTTGGGAATCTTCGAGCATGCAGGAAGTACGACAACTGCACAGCTTGTACACTAACATTTTGACCCCAATCTGGACGATCCACATAAATCGGGTGCTGTACCCTGCTAGGACTTACTAGAGAGCTCCCCGAAGGGTGGTGGAAGCTCCAATTAAAATTGTGGAAAGAATGACTCACTTGAGTAAATCACAAAAAAAAGTGTTTTCCCAATACTTTGCGTTTGCAATTAAATATTATTTTGTGCCACCACGTGCTTATTTGGGCAGAATGAAGTGAGTGATAGTTAAGTCAATTGTACATTTTTTTCCGTTTCACCGATTCTTTAGTAGTTATAAACTACAGTATATCCCAAAAAGATTTTCTTGGGTGATTAAAAAAAGGCTTAGGGACAATGATTTCTTAAACAAAAACCAGTTGTTTTTACTCTAGAGCTTTCACGTATTCATACTCAATTAATGGACGCACTAGTTTCTGGCATCTCTGTAGTAAATCCCAGCGGAATACGATGAGAAAAGAATTTTCGCGGACCGTCCAAATAGGGACTGAAGCGTTGGTGTGCACGCGGTAGAAGTATGCCACATTGAAGGTGACAATTCGCATGCGTAAAAAAGAAAACAAGAAATTGAAAAAAAAACACAAAAAAACATACTCATTGTGAAGATTAGAAAATCGTGAGGAGTGGCTAATCCTTGCTTCCTATGTTTTAATATTTTATTAATATGCGTTAAATGTTGAAATGTATTGGAGACCAAACCAGATTGAAAGTCTTCATGGTTTCGATTTCCTTGCTGAAATTACGTAAATCAATCCATCGTTTCACTTGAAGGGCAGCAAAAACAGCAACGTGACGAGTAGCGAGACAACTCTTACCCAAACAGACTTTAATAATTCAATAAAAAAAAAGGACTCAAAACGCTCTTCTGCGCTGTGCTCCGGAAGATTCGGAGGCCGTGTTTATTTCATTGCAGCTTGATAAAATTGAGCAAAATTTTGAACGCGGGCAAAGCACTTAAATGTCCGAATACCAAGTCAGCTTTTTTAGATTTGGAGAAGTGCGCTACTGGTTCGCTTCCATTTGATTTGGTGATGCTTGTTAAAGGTAGCAACCCGATAGTGATACTGCACTGAACAAGTGAACTCCCTACAGACTCGTAGACTAAGGTCACCCAACTTAAAACGGCTTAAGGTAACCCTGCATAAACGTCAACTCACCTACCGTTTACTTTCCTGAAGCCTAGTAATGAAATGTCGACATGGTGGATAGAATCACATATTAGCTTTTTTGGCACAAGATACCTACTTACCCTTTCTTCGCTTGCCGGGTGGGTGGTGTCTTCCTGCACACATTAAAAACAAACATTTTGAAATCATTATCGTACCAGAATAATTGTCGAATGTATTTCTCTTTCAATGTAAAATAAAAGAAATAATGTACTTAGAGGAGAATAACCTAAAACGGCTGATGTGGCTTAAATATTCTTTCATTTGAACTACTGCTTATAATTAGACTTGGGGTTGGATCTCAACATGATGTCCTTAGGACGTTGTTAGTGATGATTTATACTTTTTATCGATAAGAATTAATCGATGAGGATTTAATTTCGAAAATTCAGAAAGCGTATAAAAACGAAAGCTTTAAAAAGGTTGCATGCAGGCTTTGACAGGAGCAAACAAAAAATTATAGCTGATATATATTTTGGTTTGCGAACACTGCCAGCATAATGGTGCTCAAGCTCTTTTACAATGGCGTTTTGCGTCTTTCACAATAAATATATCACGAGAATATTTAGGAATTCATTATTAAATGAAACTGAATACATTTTAAAGTGCTTATAACACATTATAAAATTTTCGAATTTGTCTAATAAGTCAAACAAGCGCCAGGGCGTGAGCCGTTATGATCACACTTCTTGCATTATGGTTTATTCTTCGGAATTCTGGTCGGGTGATGGAACAATATTATTGGCTGTGGTGCCATATGAGATGATTCAGACTAAGCACGGCTTGCAGCAGTCAATCACTTTAAGCATCTGATACCATCTAACAGCTGTGTCTTATTATTTATATACAAGTCTCAAATATTTCTTAATCGAAAACCTATATATAGAATATCAAGTTTTACCTATATATTTCTACATCCATATAAAAATGGAGGTAGAAAAAATACGAGATGTTGTACAAAGTTGACTTTTCCAAACTATGCTCAAGCTCATGCTACTATAGCGATTCTGAGGAGAGGCTACGTAGTGGGAGTAAAAAAAAGATCTACGTAATTATGGTCTTTGTTTGTGAGGCAAAATGTTAAAAAGCTCCACAATAAATAACAAAAGACAGCTTGGGAAGTAGCTTCCTTTTTATCTTAAATATGAGTAAGAGAATATCCGCGAAACACACCGTATGGACAGGAATCCATGCAGCATCCTAGGCTTCCAAAGTCATTGTAACCCCCGCCACATCCAAGGTATTTCTGGCATCTGTCAGTGTGGTTGTCAAAGTAGTACATCGTAGTAATTGGAGTCCCAGGGGCGCAGGACGACACAGGATGTGGTGCTCTGCAGACGCGTTCTGCAGAGAGAGTTGAGACGACGTTAAATATAAAGAAACTTGCTATTTGTCTTGTGTTTCTTTAGAGGATAACACCGCTCACTGATCATCATTATTGTGTGAATTCTTGTGATTAGCAAAAACAAAAAAAAAAAAGAAAAGCCTCTCACTTTTTTTAATAAAACGAGATTCACATATACACCGCTCCCGCCTTCAAATAAAAAATATACAAAAGCAATCGATTAAACGATTAGAGGGACCTATAAAGCTAGTAATAATGTCTGAACCAAAATGAATGCTTTTGCTGCGTCCCAGAAAAAACAGTCAACCTAAGGTTCTATCAAACAATCGATTAAATATTTCCTTACAATAGAAATAAACTAAGTTCAACTTTTGCTGACTACGAAATACGATAAATTCACCAGAGTATGGCAATTTAGTAAAAATCGTTTCGCCACAATTTCCTGCTCTCTTGAAACGTTAAGGGCAAGCACCACTCCGGTACACATTTAAACTATATTCTGATTAAAGTGATTTATTGCATGAAGACAACAATTTGTTGCTGAACAACGCGTAAACACAGCTGTATGGTGCCCATGAAGCTTTATATTTGCCGGATGGAGAAAGTCTAGTTTTGAAATGCTACAAAAGGAGTATTTTGTCGAGTCTTCAAAGTGAGGTGGTTGAGTGCACTCCTAGTGGGTCCATAGCACTTCTAAAAGAGACCGTTATGCATTATTTGAAACCTTGTCATTGAATGCCTTTGAAAAATGCACCAAACTGACGGGCAGTTATGCTAAGGGAGAGGAAATATAATTGTTGCCCCAAAAAACATCACATGAAACTGTGAAGTACTGAAGCATTTCCTGGGACAGATGTGCTTGCGTACGTCCAAGTACGTTTATATTTATTGCGAAACGTATATAAGAATAGGTGTTTTTTGTCATGCTCTTGACTAGTGCTTGCTTAGTGTGTACCAATGCTGTGCTCATCACAGAATTAAAAATTATTTTGAACGGTTGGCAAGGATGTCGATCCCCACCCTGACCTGACAGCGTTTGGCTCATTTTAAAAAAAATATTTGGTTGTCTTATGTGAATTTGAAAGAACATAAAGAGTAGTTTAATAGTGTGACAATGGGGATCGAAATTGCAAACCTAAGCAAATTATTTTAGTGAGACAAGGAACATGCAACTTTAACAACTTAGGAAACAGACTTACCAGGCAGCAGCGCAATGACGCACACTACTGCGGCTAGCAAGCAAAGAGCTGCGATGGCTGCCTTCATCTTGGATGGTAGATGTCGACGATGTGTTTACAGATTTTGGGATGGCTATATATAGTGTTTTGCTGGCGTAGAGACAGCATGATTTATGTAGATATTTTTGTTCGAGAAAACAATGCCTTTTTCTTGCATTGTTCTCGAAGTTCATTGCATGGAGCAAATTGTAACAATTGAATATCGCACTGTGTGAGATAGTGACAAACATGTTTTCGTCACAAGCAGCAGGGGCTCCGGTACACCGGCCTGGAGGTGATTCTACAGTTTTTCATGCCTTTTTTCTAACATTGGTGCAAAATCTTGAAAAATAATAGAATGATAGCATCAGAACACAAACAAAGGTATTTAAAGAAAACAGCAATTTTGTCGAAGTATTTGTCAATTGTTTTTAAAATTTATTAACCATACCTGTCCTGGCTTAAAAGACAATTCTAGGCTGCAGACCTTACGTAGATTGACAAGCCAAAGTCTAAGGAGTATATTTTTGTCATAATTATGTCTTCCAAATAATGCCCAAAGCGAGATTAACTTTATTCGAACCGTTAGGGTAGCGAGTACAATATTCACATTCAGAAAAGTAATTTTAAAATTTATAGAAATGATTTTTTACCGCAGACATTTTAAGAGGTGCAAAATATTGCAACTCACACGAATATTGATAGATCATTCAGTCAGTGTGTGTAAGCATGAAGGTCTGAAAAGGAACTGAGGAAATGTACATAACGAATATATGTCCTTTTGTACTCCTGTTCAAAGTGAATACATGATCTATTACTTTAATTGGAACAGATAAAAAAAAAAGGTGAGTTAAACAAGTACCGTCTTCATGTGTTGTTTACTAGTCTTGACGTACATTAGATGAGGAAATAACTGTTATGGTGAATTCACTATTAAGTAAATTTTGTTAGTCCACTTTGATTCTTGGTTCTAGGGGTCTAATTGAAATTGCAGTTTGGCGGGAATGACAATTAGAGGCCAGGTCAATATAAAGAATTTTCCAAAAAAAAGGTGATGGTTTTTTAGATATTAGTCGAACGATTATCGTGTTTTTTCGCTTATCTAAAATTCCTCGCGAAAAAAACAAAACAAAAAAAAACTATCAGGCCATTTTCCAATAGCCTTTTGAAGAGTGACGTTGTCTTCTAGATCAATTCTTCACTTATGTCGTCAAGCAACAACTTAAGGACCCGCTGCCAAAATAGTGATGTCACTATTCTAGACCTTATCATAATCAGGACTTGTAACGCACTTTTCAAGCGCACAGTTTATTTCAGGCAAAAAACAAAAAAACAAAAAAAAAAACACGAAAATTGATTGTTTAAAGGAAAGCTGAAACACTTTTTGAAACAACAACAACAACAACGAGTTAGAGCTGAAATCTGACGTATGTTTTTCCCGTGAAACTGAATATCACGTTCGTTTTCTCCAATGATGTAACTAAACTCGAGAAAACGCGAAAAACCTCCGATCAGTCGTGGCGTCCTATTGTAGGATCTTTGGGCCGCCAAGCTCGTGGGGCTCGTGTGGGCAGCGTGTACAATTGCAAGCTTGCCAGGCATATTCACAAGCAATGACACCGGCTGTGAAGTCTCTTTCTGACCTTCATAAAAATAGGAGGAGTGCGCGTGCATAGCTTTGGTAGGCGCTGAAGATGTGAGAGAACGGAGATTCCGAAAACTCCTAATATAACGTCACGCCCCGGGAAGGAGGGGCTTCAGCAGTACTTTAAAAAAATAATATATGCAGCCTCCGTGCACCAAATTAAAAAAAAAAAAAATCTCGATATTCGTGATCGCGTGTAGGTTGGCTACACATATTTCCTTACTCTATTAGAAGTAACAACGTTTGTCTAGTTGTACTGCCGTGCCCACCGATGTAGTTGAAGAGTTTTCGCGACTTATTGCTGCTTCTTAGTGGGGATGTGGAACGCAATCCTGGTCCCATGTCAAAACCAGAGGCCGCGATATTTGCGAACATTGAGTCTATTGTTTCTCAATTACATGCTGGACAGTCAAGCATCATGAGTGAGTTAAAATAATTGAATGACGAAGAGAAGCGTACACATGACTTGATGTATGCCCTGACAACGCGCGTTGGGAATATTGAGCGTGACCCTGTAATTTGTAAATCAAAAATGAACCCTGCGGAAGAACTGGAAGGAAAGCTTGAATCTGTTTTTTCTGAAATAGCGTCCCTGAAGCGGCGTTCTCATAACGCAGAAAATCGTTCACGGAGTTCAAATCTGTTCTTTTTTGGCTTAAAGACGCGGCTAAAGAAACATGGGCCGAATATGAAAAACTGGTATTGGATTTGTGCTCCGATAAGCTGGGACTACAAGTTGACCCCGCTACTATCCACCGGGCTCACCGCATCAGGAAGTTCAGTCCAGCTAAAAACAGACCTGTTGTTGTAAAGTTTTCTCAATTTAAGCGGAAGGATGAAGTGCCGGGGTCGTCTTTCAAAGTTAAAGACACGGGTGTTTCTGTTGGTGAAGATTACCCAGAGAATGTTCAAGAAAGAGGCTCCTGGAGTTTTCCCGCACACAAGGCAATCGTTTCCGTTTTCGTGAGGATAAACTGCATATCGGTGGAAAGCAAGTTCTTTTTAATTAGGAAACGAATCAAATTTACGAGGCCATGACCTAACCAAGCCGACGTAACATTCTCGAACATTCTCTTGTCTACGTTGGACTTAGTATTCGTCAGCAACACTCTAGCACAGAAAGACCCTGTCATTTCCGCTCTGGACGCGATTTCTGACCATAAAACAGTTCACCTGTCCCTTTCCATCGCTGCGGAACCTGAGAAACAGAGCAAAACAGTGTATGTCTCTGATTTCGCACGGGCGAATGATGTTTGTATTCTCGACGAAATGGAGGAGGCTTTCTGTGAGTTTTCAGCCATTAGCGACTCTCCTCAATGTAATGTGGATGAGCTCTGGCTTTTTTTAAAATCATTGGTACTACGGTGCATCAAAGATTATGTGCCTAAAATTAAGAAAACTACGCACAGAAAGAATCCCTGGATGACTCGCGACATCATCCACTTGGTACGTAAAATTAACAGAGTAAAAAAAAGTTGTAAGAGACACCCTAACAACGGCAGGAGCCGTAATCTGGACGACTTCAGGCAGCAGTTGAAAGAAAGCATTGAAGCGGCTAAACAGAAATACCATTCTGAAACACTGCCAAATTTTATGCTGACATCACCAGATAAATTTTGGAGGTATCTCTCGCCTCGTAAACCGACGATCAGTAGTCTTAAAGTGGCCAGGGAGCATGTGAGTGACAAAGCAAAACTGGCAAACTGTTTCAATCTCTTTTTTAAATCTACCTTCACAATAGATGATAACACGCACCCCACTTTTGAGGCGCCGACGAATACCGCTCCGTTGAACGACTTAACAATCTGTGAAGATGGAATCTTTTCTTTGTTGCTCGATCTCGACGTTAAAAAATCTACCGGAATAGACAACGTTCCGAACGCTTTTCTACGGCGTTATGCCGAATGGTGTGCAAAATATCTTACAGTTATTTTTCGGAGGTCTCTAGAAAGCGGCAGGGTACCCACAGAGTGGAAGTACGCAAAAGTTATCCCTGTTTTTAAGGCCGAAGATCGTGAGCTTGTGACAAATTACCGACCAATTTCACTGTTGTGTACTGCGGGGAAAGTATTGGAACATGTATTATTTACGCATATTTGTCATTTTTTAGAATCAAGAAACTTACTGCATCCTCGGCAACACGGTTTCCGCAAAGCTTTGTCTACTTCCACTCAGTTGGTTGAAACCACGCATTATTTTTCTGAAGTCTTAAACCGTCGTGGCCAGGTGGACGTGGTCTTCTTGGACTTCTCAAAAGCTTTCGATCAAGTATCCCACCCGAAGTTATTAATAAAACTGAAAGCAATCTTAAGGAACGACATGATTACAAATTGGATTAGTGACTACTTAACACTTCGTCGACAGGGGGTTGTCATAGATGGATCAATTTCCGAACCTGTTTTCGTTGACTGGGGTGCCTCAGGGATCCGTTCTTGGACCGTTACTTTTTTTGATATTCATTAATGACATCTTAGATGATATACCAGTCCAGATTAACCTTTTCGCCGACGGCTGTGTTCTTTACACTGAAATTTCTAGCCCTGAAGACCACCTTCTCATCGATGCCTCCCTGGCAAAAATTAACTTATGGTGCGCGAAATGGCAAATGACTCTAAACGCGAAAAAAACAGTATTTATGAACATCACACGAAAAAAAACCATTTCACATTTTTCTTACTCAATAGGCGGCGTACCTCTGCAAAAGGTTGAATCATTTAAGTACCTAGGGGTGATCATTACATCGGATCTACGATGGAACGATCACATTGGCTACATCCCAAGACGTGCTTTCCAAAAGCTAGGCTACCTGAGACGATCCCTGGGGCGCTCCAGTGTTTCAGCGAAGCTGACTGCATTCCAGACCTACGTGCGACCCATTCTGGAATATGCCGGAGTGATCTGGGATCCGCACACCGAAGTAAACAAAAATAAACTGGAAAAAATACAAAGGAGGGCGGTAAGGTTTATCTACAACTCCTATAGCTGGTCTGTGTCTCCCAGCCAGCTCCTGCAAAACGCCAACCTCGAGAGTCTTGAATATAGACGACGGAGAGATCGATTAAAATTCTTCTATCTAATCATTAATGACCAGCTAAAGATTAACAAAAACAAGTATATCTCATTTTTTCATCCACGATTAACAAGACGATCACATCAACTGTCAATAAGGGAATTTTCCGCTAAAAACAATGTATTTTATTATTCATTTTTTCCACGCACTGTTAGAGAATGGAATTCCCTGCCAGCCAACGTTGTGAATAGTCCAACCTTGTCTTCATTCCTCTCCCAAATCGGTTAGAAAAGTAAATGGTTGTTGTACGTGTGAGTTGCATCTTGATTGTATATTATGCATTCTATATTCGCGAGTGTTTTCTGATGGGATTCGATGAGCGAGTCACTTTGCTTGTCTGTGTCGCGTTGC